GCTTTGTGCAGCCTTTTATAGTTAAGCATTTTGGGAAATAAGTTATTTTAGTAGGAACGAGATGAAAATGGACAGTTCCCATTTTTATTAAAATAAAAAGTACAAAATCTACTTTGCAGCAGAATTGTTAAAAGAACAAAAAAGACAGACCTGTCCTTTTAACATTGACATATACTAAAACTGGCCATTGAAAATTGGGCTTGTATTTCAGTGTTTCTCTGAACCTCACATGGCTGTTTTTTCCATAGGCCTTTTATTTCCCAGAAAATCCACTTTCCTGACTTTTCTACAAGAGACATACATAGAAACTATGTTGACTGTGTACGATGGTTGGGTGACCTAATTCTTTCCAAGGTAAGGTGCAAGCTTTTTCATCCACCTTGCTTTTACTTGCTTTTTTAGGCTCTTAAACAGTAGTAGTTCCACTAGAATATGAATTGTAGGTTAACTTACTATGCTGCATGAAATGATTTTATATTACTGATTTTGGCAACTGTTTGCATGTGTAGATAAGCAACTTTTACTTTAAAAGGAAAATGATTATAGCAGTCATAACTGTGCTGAAAGTAGCAGGATATCAACTACCCATGTTCTCCGTGAGAAGTGCAGAAAGAGAATGAATGCATAGTCACTCATGTGGGGTCCTGCAGCTAAATGGAGAAATGAGGATTCGCACAATGGAGTTCCTTGGAATTGTGTGATAAGACTAGCAATGCTTTCTGGCAGACATTAAACTACGTTGTGGCACTGCATCTTTGACAGAAATTGGTGCGTGTTCTCTTAATTGTTATAAGGACTGTCTAAAAATTCCTTGAATCTAGGTTATTTCAAACCAAAAATGTATGGTTGAGTACATGTGGTTGATTTCTTCTTAAGTGTGTGAGGGAGGGCACCTGCAATCCTGTTAGCTGGCAGACCTGTGAGGGCAGCGATACCCTGCAGAGGGTTGTGATGTTGGTGATGTGGCTGTGATCTGAGGACAGAGATGAGATTCTCAGTTTTACTTTTTTGACATAGGATGGTTTGGGTTGGAGGGGACCTTTAAGATCATCTATTTCCAACCCCCTGCTATAGGTAAGGATACTTCCCACTAGATCAGGTTGCTCACAGTCCCATCCAGCCTGGGAACACTGTTAATGAGATGAAATGTTAGCTTATAATTAAACTGAATGTTGCACAGTATAAACTGTAGTGCTTTTTTTTTTTTGTGACTTTTTTTTTGTTGTTCACTGCTTTTCCCCCTAGTCTTGTGAAAATGCCATTGTATGCTGGAAACCTGGTAAAATGGAAGATGATATAGATAAAATCAAGCCAAGTGAGTCGAATGTGACCATACTTGGGAGATTCGATTACAGCCAGTGTGATATATGGTACATGAGGTTTTCAATGGATTTCTGGCAAAAGGTATGTGTGAGCTTGGACCTTGCTGTACCTGGAGGTGTGTAGCTCTTCATTCATTCTATATTTCTGTGTATGGGAAGTTTTGGTACCTGTGATGTGGTGTCTGAGAAGCAGAATGGTCTGTTACAAGGGACTTTTTGTGAAACTTATATTTATTGATATCTTCTTCCTCTATCTGCAGAGATAGATGATAATAATATGGGAGAAAGGAAGCAAATTATTTAGAATTTCCAACCACTTCATCAAACTTGTTAAGCAATTAATGTTCAAACATTTAAACATAACTGTAGAGTCTTCATAAAAGTTTGAGTTTTATGAGTTTTCATACCTTTTGAATAATACAGTAAGACTTCTCTATCCTCTGCTTTCTTTTTAAGATGCTTGCTCTTGGCAATCAGGTTGGCAAACTTTACGTTTGGGATTTGGAAATAGAGGATCCTCATAAAGCCAAGTGAGTACATAATGCTCAATTTTATTTTTGTTGAGACAGGAATTTGGGGAACTTTCCTCTTTCTTTTGTTGACAACTATTGATATTCTTAAACTACTGATATTCTAGAGTGGTAGCCACTCTAACTACTAAGTAAATAAATGTTCTGAGCCCCTGGAGGTTATTTATTTATTTTACTGTTCTATTATTTACATTACAGTAGTGCCAAGAGGTACCAATCAAATTGTGTTGAGCAGTATATGAAGATAAAGTGAAAGAATGTATCTTTCTCCAATTGCTTGCAAATTGATTAGGTTGAAGATTTATGGAGCAATTAGAAGAAATAGATGGAAGGACTAGAGTAATGAGGGTACAAAGGTTAACTATGAGCACAAACTGAAGAAAACAATATGGCTTTTCAGTTTCTTGCCTGTGTGGCCAGGTGATTTTATTGCATGTTTGAACACACGTACAATATATTTGTGAACATCCAGTAATGTGTATGTGTTCATATGTAAAAATACAGACATGCATATAATAAATAGCTGAAAAATGCTGCAGTACTGAATTGCTATATGGCCATATTTTATTCCTAACAACTGGAAAAGAACATTGATTACTAAATAACGTGATTCAATAAGATTTTAATCAATGCTTCAGTGAAAATTGGGTGGATGAGAAATGGCAGTGGGTGAACCAGAAATCAGTGCTTTCCCAAGTCCAAATTTGGAATACAAAATACAATGTGATATAATCCTGCTACTTTCTGAATTCCTCCTAGGTCACTTAAGTAAGAAAGTGGTGAAACAGCACTCCGTAATGTAGTAGCAGCAAGTGCAGGTTTAACATTGCAGCTGAATAATTTTCTTTTATTTATAGGTGTACGACTCTTACTCATCCTAAATGTGTTGCTGCCATTCGACAAACCAGTTTTAGCAGGGATAGTAGTATCCTTATAGCTGTGTGTGATGATGCCAGTATCTGGCGCTGGGACAGACTACGATAAGTTACTTTTTCTTAATTCAAAGTAGAAAATATATTTTCAAATTATAATATAGTCTGTTAACTTGCTAGTACGGTAGATGCGTTTAGCTTAGACTTTCTCAAAGGTTCAGCAGGCTGGAGCTGAACTTAGTGATGTTTACATTCTGTGTATTGTTTTGCTTGAACTTTTGCTGCTTTTAATAAAAAGAAGTATTTTTGTAAAGTTTTCTGAACTGTCCATTTTAATTATTTACCACAATAAGCTTTCAGTTATGACCCATGGAATTGCTTTATGTACAGCTAGTGCATAAATACATAGTAACTTGCTTGACACTGTGTTCATCCTTTTTTATGCTGACTACAAACATAATGAAGCTATTGAATATTATCCAGGGATAAAACATTTGTGTGTGTAAAATTGAAATGTTAGTGCTTGTATTCTTTGTAAGTGTTCTAAGACACTGCAGAATAGTTATGTGTACCTCTGTGAACAACGGAACTGTTAATAATGTTTAGCAAAGATTAACCATTTAGGGCTCTTTTTTCCTACTGTTCTCTTATCCTTTACCCTAAATTGAAAAGAATACTTTACGGTATTACGTACATGCAAGCACAGTCTTTGGCAACATATTAGTGCTTTTTTTTTTTTTTTTTTTAATTGAATTAAGGAAGTAGTCCTGTCTCCGACTGACTTTTCAAGTATATATCAGGCTTTTATCTTTCATGATATTGCATTTGCCTCTTTGTTCCACTGTGGGAAGCTCATAAATTCTGTTTAGGTGGCCTACCTGTTCAGCTTGAAATGGTATTGACTAAGCCAGTTCTATTAGTTTGTACTTAGAAATTTGCAAAACAATGAGATCTGGAGCTGGCAAGTAGTTTGCAAGCGTTAGTCTGTAACATATGATTACCCCCCTTTATAGAAAAAAAAATATATATATATATTCTTATTCCTGGAGAACAGCCATAATACCTTTGTAGCAAAATAAGCTGAGGAGGGGAAAGATGAGAAGTGGGGCAGGAGGGTTTTAATCTCTAGTTCAACTGAACTGCTAGCACAGCATGAGCTAGCATTTAGGTGGCAGCAGCTGTGGGCCTGTGTACTTCATGTGTGTGGGGCTGGTAGTGTGAAAAACTGTGGGGGTGGGGAAGTGAGTTGGAGAGTACTTCAAAAAGGCTGTGGGAATGCTCAGGCGTTCTTCAGATGAGCTAAACCCTGTTCAGAACATAGAGGTTGGAGGCTGATACCACTGAGTATTTGCAAATGTTGAAAGTGAAATAGGACATAAAAGCAGTTGTAACTTTTAGTCGTGGTTATTTGTTATATTGTAAGCTGTATGTTCTTACTAATAAACTGTTCTGTTTCTAAGAGGAAGGAAGGGTGGTACTTGAATGAGGCCTAAATACAATTGGGGTGGCTTCAGCTTTTTCAACTCATAATATTCTGACAACTGTTCTCTTAAAATGCAGGAAAATGTGGAGAGGTTTCCTTTGAAATGCGATTTAGGGTTGGGTCCCATTTGGTGGGGACTCTGTTCTTTGAAGTGCAGTGTCAGTGCTGTTGCTGTATTTACCGTTTCTTTTCTGCAGTAGGACTATGCATGGTTTCTTTCAGAGTCATAGAGCTTCTCACTCTTCGGACACAGCAAACAAATGTCAGCTAATAAAAGCTTTGTAAACCTCACCTCTGAAGTAAAGGTGGTTATTGTATAGTGTCTGTCTCAGATTTAGACTTCCGATATGGTGTTGGTCAGATTTATCTGGCTTGTCAGACAGAAATACTAAAGACTTTCAATATGGCTTAGGACAAAGCTACCTGGAACAGAACATGAGTGAAGTAGAAAAAAAAACAGCAGTTACTGACACACTTAAGGTTAACTGTGCAAAACATACTAAAGAACAGTTGCTCTAGTCCAGGATAGATGAGTTAAAATACATTGTAGGAAACTTCACCCAATTGAAGATATTCACATGTATAGGGACAGTACATATCAGTCAGAATAGAAGAGGTACTTCTGCATGATGGTGAAACTAGTTCCTGGGCGCGTCATACAACTCAGCAGTACCAGCTTCTCTCTGTATTTATAGCTTAGGATGAATGAGGTGTAGATGCTTGCGTCATAAATGACTGCAGTTAGTCTTGAGCATCTTGACTGACTTTTAAAGAGCTTGTCCAGCTGACTGTTCAGAGTTGGTACAGATTTTGAGCACCTAGAATTGTCTTAAGTTAAATTTCCATAGATAGACTAAATGCCTACTTCCCTAAGCATCCCATAGCGATCACATTTTCAGATCTTGCACAGCCAGTGAAATTTAGTAACCCACCATAATCAGTGGGTTACAGGACAGCAAGAAAAAGCACTTATGCTTAAGCAGCACGGCAGTCCAAGTGAGCAATCCACAGTTGTTTTGAAAGATATTTATCTGATACAACATGAAGGGAGATGGAGTCTTCCTTCTGCAAGTTTCTGTTCTGCAAGCTCAGCCACAGTAGGTTGGAAAGAAGAGGAAAGTAGTTTACAGTGATGTTCTCAAGCATACACCATAATGACTAAGCTTAGAGAGACAAGATCTGGCTGTACCTACAGGGGCTGGTGCACTAGGAGACATTTCTAATGCACATTGCTGAATTAAAATGCATATGATTACAGTTCATTTGCAGCCTGCAAGGCTGGAGCCAAAGCAACAGGAATGTACTTGAAAATATAAGCTCTGTGACCACTGACGGAGAGACTTAATAATCCCACCCACTTGATCTAGTCTGGCTTTCTAAAACCCAAGCAATAAGAAGCTCAGGCTTGTAGAATAACATGAAGGCAGTACTGACCTAGTCAGAACAGAAGCAGCTTATTACTATAGCTGTAAAAGAGAAGGCAGAGCTGCAGAGTGACTTCCTCTGCTGGTACAAACTGCCAAAATGAGGCTATTGCAGTTTTATATGCCTTTAAGTTATACAACTCAGTTTTCACCAAGTCACATAGGAAGACTACAGAAAAATGCAAGAAGGAACACATGGATTCCAGCCAATCAGTCAAGGAAACTCAAGATAATATCCCTCCTACCCCCTTGTTTTTTCATCTATTCTTTCATTTTTAATTAATAATATCCTTGCTCCTTTATTAATTGTCTGACTTAGAGAGACCATTAGATCATGCTGACAAGCAGTTCTTAATTAGTGAGGCCTCCAGAGGCCTGCGAGGTTTTAATTATTTTACTTCCACAGCAGGCAGGCACTTGCACAGTAGTGTGAAAACGTGAGAAATCATGACCACACTGCTTTCAGTACTGTCTCATAACAACTTTTACTCCACTTTCCCTTTGTCTCCTCCCTCTTCTTCCAATACCACCTGTGATGTTGTCAACTATATGTGGTATCTGCCATCCGCATAACAAAATCTGCCAAGTCCTACAGGAGGATTTGATGCGTCACACAGAATTGCTATGATCCATTCCAGCACTTCAGCCTGGGCCTCATTTACTGCCTTCATTGCTGCTTCTCCACAAATGGAAATCTTAGAGAAAACCAAGTCTTCATCTGAGCAGGAGCCTGAGGGTTTAGGTCTCTCCCAAGGCTTCTGGAAAACAACTCAGGGCTCTGCTAGGTAAGTTATCTGGGATGTGCTGCATGTAGATCCAAAAAGATACAATTGAATACAGCAGTGAAGACAGTTGAATTTGTTAAGGATCAACATCATCTTATTGTTTTTACAATTAAAGTTATCATTATAAATGCAGAACTCCATAGAGTTTACTGCTGTTGCTTTGATATAGTGGTCAGGAACGTGGGACTCAGGTCTGGGTTCTGCTTGAAGTGTTGTTTACCATTCAGTTCCTCACAGGATCTTCCCTCATCTTCATACAGCCTCCTAAAGATCCATACCAGGAGCATTTTGAGTGCAGTTAAGACAAGTTTGCTTACAGCTGATGTTCACAGCAGAAAACCTGCTTCAGGTACACATGAAGGATCTGCAAAACTAAGTGTTGTCTCTTGCCTTGCTCCAACAAAAAGCAAAGGCAGAAGCCCTGAGCTGTGCAATGCTGGTTTCAAGCTCCGAGGTCAAGAGGCCTTATTGGTATTGATGTAACCTCTCTAAAAGAAGCCAGCTGTGGTTCTGAGGAGCACAGACTGACTTGAATTATGTTTTACTCACTCAAGCAACACTTTTTCAACTAGAGCAAGATTGCTCTTTCATGGTTAATCACCTCTGAACTCTGCTGGTGTTTGGGAAGAGTCCAAAGGTGTTGAACAAAGCTCAGACGTGCTGATAACATCAAGAAGCGGTTCAGAGGGCAGTGAGACTATCCTACCTCTCATAAAGTATTGTTCAACTCTGACCATTACTCTCAGAAAACAAAAGCAGCAGGCTCATTCCAATAAAAGAGACTAGGAAAATAATCCTCAACTTCTGGAACAATTCTCCCTGCTCAGTTACTAAGCAGAATGCAACTGGAAGACAACTCAAGTAAAATGAAGTGGATCCAAAAGGTCTAAATAAGTTTTCTAGTCACATCCTCAGGCTATTCCTTGTGAGCCATAGTCTTTCAGATTTCACACATGCATCCAAAGGAAACATCTTGCTCACACGTGTATGAAGGCACAGCATTACCCTCCACCATTTCCTCCACAGACTCACCTAACAGGGAATTCTTTTCCCTTGAATTTCTTCCTTGACTGCTCTTTTAAGTCAACAGCTCTGACTTTCACAGGACCGCTATGAGGATGAGCTGAAAGAATCCCTGTGGGTGTGAAACAACATCGCCATTAGAACAGCACCTTGGTGAGGATTCACATGAGAATGACACACAGACACTCTTAGGTCATAAATACCACTGACTGAGACTATTAATTCCCCATCTCCCCTAGTGTTAGGAGGTTTTGATCACTGGCACTTCGTCCAATGCTTTCCTTCAGTATTACTCATGGCAACATTTTTTTTTCCCATTCCTTCATCATTTCCCTTGTGTGAAAGGTTGGTTGGGAGATGCCAGAAAGCTAACAGAGTCTCTTCTTGGAGAAGCAGCGCTACTTCACAGAGTCTTGGTGCTTTGTATTGGCTCCATCTGCACATCCAACCCACAGACGTTTTGGGAAAGTTCATGATCAGTTGAGAAAGGTGAAGTACAGATAAGGAGCCTTTTCTACAACCATTTCCAGATGGTATTTCTCCACAGAACAAAACAAGTGGGTTCCATGAGAACCAGCCTCTTCTCACTGGTGACAGGATGAGGGAAAATGGCCTCAAGTTGCACCAGGGTAAGTTTAGGTTGGATGTCAGGAAAAACTTTACAGAAAGGGTTGTGAAGCACTGGAATAGGCTCCCCAGGAAGGCGGTTGAGTCACCATCCCTGGATGTGTTTAAAACCATTTGGATGTGGTGCACCCGAAATCAGGACAGAAGGAGAACACACTGAGTGCTACCAGGAGTCTGCTCTGACAATACCTTTTCCATTAATCTTTTCCTTAAAGACGTCTTTTGTCTTTTTCTCCTGCAGTGGTTTGGTAGGTCTTTCGCGGAGGGATTCAAGGAGGAATTTTCCATGTTCGGTCTTAAACTGCAGGCTGCAAACAAGAAGGCAACACCTGTACATGCATGAAGGGCTCGTTCCCTCTGCAGCTTACATGAGTGACCTCGTCCTGATGCAGAGAGATCTTACAAGCACTTTGCAGTCTACAACTTAAAATGAAATGCCCTCAGAGGCTTTAGTAGGAAATGAAGTTACATGAAAAGGGACTCCAGTGCCTGGAGAAGAAAAGACTGTCCATGCATCCTAAGGCTTGCTAACAGTGAAGATTAATGCAAAACCTCCTTGCCCCATTTGATGACCATCCCTCATCCTGAGCATAGCTAGAGAACATGCAGGTTTCTCGTTGTCCAGTATACCCACGGCATTTTAAGTTTTAGTTTCAGCCCCTCATTCACTTAGGTATCCTTTCTGACTAACCCCATTGCTTGGGTCATGAACAGAACTACTTTGCAGCATTAGACTTCAGCCCTGTCCCACTATAAACCTTCTCAACTCCTGAAAAAGGTATTTAGGATGCACTTCGTTTACTTAATTCCTACAAAGTCATGGGAATTTCACAAACACATGACATACATGGTTCCAACAGGTAGAATTTGGTGTGAAGTCCAACACAGAAACATTTCTTAATTGTCCTGTAAGTTTCCTTTCCTTTTGCAGTCTCATCAAAAGGAAAGAAAAAAATACAGGTGAAAATTGAAGTTGCCAGTATTTGCCTGTCTTCTTCTCTATGCTCCACAAATTCTGTCTAATGAATAAATGATGTTTATTTTGCATGATTTATGACAACATATGAGAAATCACTTCTCTGTATTACTTCAGGTGAAGACGTACATCATTCAATGCAAGGAACATTAAGCATGGAGTGTACTGTGAATGAATCTTTCTCAGTAAATGCATGAGCAGCAGAAAACCCCCAGTAACATGCTGCCCAACATGAGGTGAGAGGCTGCTCATATCATACGTGAATGGTAACAGAAACAGCCTCACCTGGGAAACAGGATGTCAGGTTTAGTACAGACATCAGAAACTCCAGTTTCTCCCTGGGAAATGACCCAGTTCATCATCCCTTTCTTCCTCTATAACAGAGACAGAGAGAAGCAAGATGATTTCAAAGCAATTAACATTTGCTAACCAAGGTAGCAAACCTTTCAGCTGATAAAAGTAGCAACTGCCTCCAGCAATGCTCTCCAGCAAAGTCATCTTGCATTAACTTCAGCCTCTCATGAGAGCAACCAGAGATACAACTTCAAGGAATTGATTCTAAGTACTTAAACTGCCGGGCTTTCTGTATGAGTGACACTCAATGGATTTAACCAGAAAACAAATCTCTTGACTACTGGAGAAGTCAGCAGAGGTGAGCACAGGCTGGTTGTTCCCTCAGCCTTCAGGGACAGGATGTTGGACTGGATCCCTCAGCCCAGTGATCACTATTCAACAGCCACCAGGACATGGTCCTTGGCAACTTGGTCTAAGAGGCCTCACTTGAGCAAGGGACTTGGACAAGATGATATCTAGAGGTCCATTCCAATCTCAGCTGTTCTGTGATCCTTGGTTTGATCCAACACAGCTATCTTTCACGTCTTACATTTCAGCAAGACAACCAACTATATGAGAAGAAATCCAGAGAGTGACTTTACATCTAAGCCAAGTGGCTAGTCAAGTCATGGCACACCAGGAGGCACCAGTTCAACAGGCCCTTGAGATTGGAAATCCTCAAAGTTGTACTGTGTAAGACTTACATTGATAATAATTTCCTTCAAGTTTCCCACTGTGTCCAGGCTGAGAAGAAAATTTTCGTAAAACCTCATTTTGACTTTCTTTTGCCTGATAAGAAGGACACCCATGTCCCTGAGAACAAAGTCAATATTCAGTCCGTTTGAGATACAGCGAGAGAGATACATCACAGTCTCATTTACACAGTTCTCCACGGCATCCACGGAATGAGATGTCTCCAGGGCAATTGTGGGGTAGTCCAATGGGACAGCTAGTGTAGAACCTGTTAACACAAGAAGAGCACAGTGACACATAACTAAGATATTAATTGCAATCAGATTTCAGCAGTCTTCAGGCCTTGAGACAATTACATGTTACAGAATGGGCTTCTTGAGTCCAGGTGCTATGATAAGGCCATTGTAACTACCCCCACTCAGTGTGCAGGCACAGAGGGATTGAGTGATGCAGCATGCTCTGTAAACCACCTACAATTAAGGAAAACAGAAAAGCTGCTCAAACACTCTGAGAAACGTTCAGACTACTTGAAAAGTAGCGTGGATTTATGGGCCAATGTGGTAAATTTTAGGCCCAGCAACCATTGCTAGACACCAGTCAGACATGCCAAATATTCCGAAGGAACATCCTGGTTTCAGCTGGGATGATATGATGCTATGTTTTTTATTCTAGGAGAAAAACAATGTTGTGGTTTAACCCTGCAAGTGTTATATAGTTTTATTTCATCTTCTCACCAGGCATAATTCTTTTAGCAGAGTTAAGATCAAAAATTCTTCTGATAATGTTGGACATTTGAAATACAGGTCTGTGAATGAGCAAGCAATCATTTCTTCCCATGTGTAGCTCTTGCGTGTGAACAGCAAAAGTTCCCAGTCCAACTATTTCAACGCTCTAGAAGGAAGAAGAGGAAAAAGGAAAATGGGTAAGGATTTCAAGAAAAATTAACACAAGCACCCTTCAATTAGAGGGTTTCTGAAATCTCTAATGCATCCTGGAATGATAGGTGATCTGGGTGATCTACTCTGGCAGTGTGGAATGGAAACTGAAAGCATCAATCATTTGAGTATACCAGACCTTATTTTTTCCTGTAAATATTCAGAAAAATCTATTTTGTGACACACTTGTAAACTGCATTTTAAAGCAGAAAAAAAAAAATAGCAAAGGAAGAGAAGTACAGTTGGATACATTAATCATATTTAATGACTTTGGCAGGGTCAGGCTACCAAACTACCAGAGTATGAGAGGAAACACGAGGCACGATGATCACCTTGCTCTGTGCCAACTGCCGCTGAACATCAAGAGACACCTGATCCCAAATCTGCACGATCTCTGCAGAGCAAACAAAGGACATGTCATGCTCAGTGTCACCAAGCTTACCACCACACAGCACATTCCTAAACCAGTTATTGTACTTTGAATCACAGAATGTCCCAGGTTGGAGGGAACCACAAGGATCGTCGAGTTCAACTCCGAGTTTTGCACAGGACTGCCCAAAACGCAAAGCCTACGTCTGAGAGTGGTGTCCCAGTGCTCCTTGAGCTCTAGTTCAGGGCTGTGCCCACTGCCCTCTGGGTCAGTCACCCCTCCACCCACTCCCCTGAAACAGATCCATGCCATTCCCTCAGGTGCTGTTGCTCCCTACACATCTTCCCATCCAAACCCTTCCTCACCTCTGTAGTCCTCTTTTCAATGCTAATAGCTTGATCATAGAATGGCTTAGGGACCTCAAGGATCATCAAGCTCCAACCCCCTTGCCACAGGCAGGGCCACCAACCTCCATATCTAATGCTAGATGTCCTTTATCATAGCCAAAATCACACACAGTACTTGAGGTGAAGCTGCACGAGCAGGACAATCCTTTCCCACAACTGAATAGGCATTATGAGAGAGTATCATGAAAAAGTTCCAGATGCTCTTACCTTTGGTTGTGAGAGACATAAGTGTTGGAAACAAGGCTCTTTCAGATGCCTTCCAGTCACCTTTCCGTGGCCAGAAAAAGGAAGTCATGGCTGCCATACTCACCCTTTAGGTAAACACCTGGACCTGAAAGTTCAAAGATATTTCTCTCCTGCACTCTTATAAACACCCTCATCTGGATGTCACAGGAGTCATCCAGTGCTCTCCCACTGCCTCTCTTCTCCTTCACACAGCAAAGCAGCACAAGAGAAAAGCAGACACAAGAGCAGCAGGCATCACCAGGCAGGCAGGGGGAACAGAGCTGGACAGCACCAATCCCTAGGTCACAACTGACCCCACCGTCACTTGTGGGTCAGAAGAGGGATGCTCCCTTTCCCTGCAAGGAGCTCTAGTAAGCTTCACCTTGAACTGATCATTTTGGGCAGATGCCTCATCCCCAAAGTCTCCTTGGGCTATGGGCTGAAGTGACCCACAACCTACTGAGCCCTGCTGAGACTCAGCCCACGTGCTGCTCAGTGCTGTCCCCAGGACTGTGCCAAAGGTAGGAAACTTGGCTACATCTAGTGGTGAATGAGCATGTTTTATCTTTCTCCTGAATAAAAGAACAAATGAGAAGGTTTGTGTGATGCCAGGAAATGAGTAAAGTGCTGTTTGTGTTCCCTTCTTCATAGCCTGGAGAAAGCAAAGTGCTTATTGGGCAGAGAGGTTACCTCTCACCTGTAGGGAGTTTTACATCCATTCACCATCAATATCAACATAGACTGTTATGCAAGTCCACAGTGAAAATCCACCTCCAAATGGTCTCACATTGAGGGAGAAACCTACAACAGCATATTGGAAAATTAACTTCCACACCTCTGCACTATAGTACTTCCACACAGTAATCCATTTGTGGAAGTGTTGTAGGATACAAAACTCATCATGCCTGGAACAAGATTATGAACTCCAGCCCAACACCACTTCCTATTCTTCCTGTTTCCCCAGAGTGAGCTTTAGAGTGGCTTCTCCTTGAGGTAATGGAACGTGACAGCAGCAGAGAATGGGATGACAGACAGAAAGACAGCACCTGGAACCGCTTTAAGGAATTAGGACTATCCCTGACAATCACCATTTGCACCCAAGCATTTTGAATGCATTCAGACACCAGCATCTCCCTCACACATTGACATAGGGGTGGGGGAAGTATCAGAAAGCTGTTCTGCTTTTCACCAATTCCTTCTTATATGACTGCCCCAACATTACATGTAGGAAAACAGTGTAGTGGTGGCAGGCCTACGTGAAACATCAAACAAACTTCTACAACAGACCAGGGTGCTTAAAAACAAACCTTTTTCTTCACTGTAGTGCTAGGGACATCGTGCTGTCTGAAACATTAAATATTTGATAATACTGAAGAGATGTTCTCTCTTACTAAACAAAGGACACCACCTTCACCCAACACAACTCCCCCTACCCCCAGCATCACGCTGGAACAACATTCCTTGTTTTGATGGAGACGCTCTGTTCTAAGTTCTGAGAACAGAAAAGTTCCATGGAGAGGCTCATAGGATCGAGACAAGCTTCTGTTCACTCCACATCAACGTTTCTCTATATAGACACCAATAATTTCCCCTCAAACACTGCAAAGGTACCTCACAGATCCTTGAAATGACTTAAACCATTTTGATGTTACCCGTTATTCTCTCAGAAAAAAAACTCTACATACCAAGAAGCATTTTTCTCCCTCTTCTCCCTCATGCCATAAACAGAGTAAGCTGAATGGAGACAAAATTTACCAAGTACCTCCACTGTCAATAACCTGTCACCTCACAGCTCTAGGCTGCAAAATACAGATCTATAAATCCAAGTACGCCCCTAGCAGCTGTTTAAAAGGTATTTATTTGGCCAGCAGGGAAAAAGTCCCAGAGACTACTCTAAACTACACTTTCACATAGGAAAAGTTCAAGACAGATACCTGAGATCAAGCTCCATAGCATCTTCTAAAGAGAGGGAGATATACTATCTATACAAGCTGGGGACAGCAATAGTAGCTGTCCACAAATTAAAAGCATTTACAGAGCAAGGACCAGCAAGGAAAACATCAGCATATTCTCAGTCTCCCCATCATCCTTCACAACGAGACCAACTTAATTTTACTTACAGTTAAACACCACCTCAAAACTTCACAAGTATGAAACTGCTTTGTCATTTTTCTTCTTGTAATTCCTTCCATTTTAAATACAGGTTCAAAAGAGTCTTTCTACACATGCATACTGAGTTTCGTTGTAGTCAAGTATTTCCATAAAAAAAAACCCACATAGACAAGCAGTTTTCACAGATTTTAATTTTAAATAATTTGAGTAATATAAAAGTTACAAGTTGGTCTATTCAGACTAATCGTTTTTTTTCTGCCTCAAAGTTCTTCAGTGAAGTTATTTGCTGTATACTCCAGATCAGAGAGCACTTCAAATGACATGATTCAAGCTTATGTTTTCCAGAAGAGAGGGTTCTGTGTCAGGCGTCTCTGGAAGTTCTCATACCTACAAAAAATAAGTAAATAAATAAACTCTATTAGAAATCCTGAGAAATTAGTCCCCATTATTTTTTCCTCTTACTAAATAATTCTAACTTCTACATTTATTATCCACAGTAATATTTTAGCAAAATATAATAAAGTAATTAACAGAGTAGAATGAAGCATGCAAACACGTCATCCTAATTTCACCTTCCTAACCAGCAAAGATGTGCAAACATTGTTGGAATCTACTTCAGATCCAGAACAGTGAAAAAAAACAAAACCAAAAACAAAACCAGAGGAAGTAGAATTTCCCTGGCTTTCTCAACTTTCAGACTGAGCTACAAGAGCCTGGACAGCCCTTCAAATCACCACAAACACAAGCTGTAAGGTAACACAACTACTGCTGAAACAAAGACAACAAAAACCTCTACATCTGGAAATTTCTAAGCCAATTCCAATTAGAGAAGAAATTTTGAAAGGTTTTATCATCATCCTACTCATATTAAAAGAGAAAGGCTTATTAATTAATGGCATTCTAAGCATTGCAGCTAGCCTTCTGCAGAGACCTCAGATACTCTGTTTTACAAGCTATAATTAAATACATTATAATGACTCACAAACAGATGAATTTTTTTTTTAAATCTCTTTTGGCTGTAATCAATTTAACAGATTTACATACACAAATGTGTTTGCTTTATTGGAGTTATGCCTCACTTCACTTTACTGTTTAGAACAAAGGCAAAGTCAGCATTACTCAGGGAGCAGCCAGCCATTACCCTGTTTTTTCAGCCTGCCTTCCCTTTGGTTTCTCATTGGAGACTCCCCACATGTGAGATGCTTACAGTTACCTCCTATTTAGAAGAAATCTGCATCAAATTACATTTCTAAAGGAAACATATTGCTTATATTAACTGCTTACATACTCATGCTGACCTACGCTTATGACTCAACTATCCAGAAAACCCAAAATACCGTTTTAAGAAGGCTTCCGTCAGTAAATATTGAGGCAAAAAAAAAGGCTAAACTTATAAACTGTAGGAAAGAATTTTTAAAGACATTCAGAAGCACTGCCCACAGTTTACCTCCAGAGTATCACTATCCCTGCTAGGAATTCTCTTTTAAGCCACTTACTGGAAAACAACTCTCAGGGAGCCCGGTTCATGCTGGTGGCAGAACCATGTAAACTTGGAACATGATTTTCCATCCCTCCCACCTTCTTAAGCAACATAACCTTGATGGCACTATGTCTGTGAAGGCTACAAGCATAAAAACAACTTGTAACAACAAACTGACAGGCATCAGTGTTCCATTTTCCCATTACTCAAAAACCTGCAGTCAGCAACACACTGCAAGTCGACATGTATAAAGGGTGACATTTCCAGATGCAACAAAATGCACAGGCTATAAAAATTACATGAAAATGGTGACAAGTTTAAAACCAGTAGAAAGAGCACCTTAGCTTCAGAACAGCATTTCTGCATCATCTCACTGGAATAGCATGACAAGTAGTACTTACAAAACAGCTGTTTTGATGCCTAAGAAAAATATACACTAGTTACTAAAGATAGTTTCCATTACCATTTCATGACTACATTTGCAGGAATGAAAGCCTCAGAGGGGTTTGGTGTCATCTGTGCCTGAGTAACAGCAAACGAGGATGCAAAATTATAGAAGTTATCCAACATTTTCTGGGTGAACTGAAATAAAAGAAAGATACTAAGTAAGTACTTTGTTAAATATGGTTTCTTGTGCAATATGTCAGCAGATACACAACTCCTAAGTGAAATAAAAACAGCACTGTTATCTAGAATCCAGTAGGAAAGTACAAACATTAGAGCAAGAAAAGACAGTTTAAAAAGAGATCAAAATATCATAACTCTTAGTTTTGCCCTCAGATCCATCTACTCTTTAGAAAACATTTTTAGATCTTCACTTGTGGCCTCCTTGGCCAATTTCATCCAACTAGATAAAGAGCTCCAGGAAGAACATTTCCTTTGTGACAAAGTGTTTTGGTGACAAACCAACAGATGAACAGTAGACCAAGTTAAAGCTGAGAGGTCTGACTCATAGCAAAAAAGTAATTGTTCAACCAGCAGAAAAGTCTCCAGCAATCTGCCTCACGAGCAAGAGGACTAGAGGGAATGGCCTCAACTTGTGCCAGGGGAGGTTCAGGTTGGGTATTAGTAAAAACTTCTCCAGGTCAGGTGCTGGAACAGGCTGCCCAGGGAGGCAGTGGAGTCACCATCTGTGGAGGTGTTCAAGAAACGTTCGGATGTTGTATTAAGGATGTGGTTTAGTGGGAAAATATTGATGGTAGGTAGACAGTTGGACTGGGTGATATTGGAGGTCTTTCCAACCTTGATTCTATGATTACAACTAATTGCCAGACTCCAGCAACAGGGAAACTTCCTCCAGCTGTGTAGTCTGTAATATTTTCTTCTTTCTCCTACTTGCTGTAGGAGAAAAATAAATGTGTTGTTTTGGTGGGGGAACAAATTATTTTCAGAGACAGTAAAATGATAGAGTAAAACAGAATCTGGAGCAATATACAGAATCACACAATAGTCTGAGTTGGAAGGAACCTCTGAAAATCACCTAGTTCAATGCCTGTGCCATGGGCATGGATGTCTTCCACGAGCTCTAGTTGCTCCAAGTCCTGTTCAACCCAACTTTGAACACTTCCAATCATAGGTTGCCTACAGAAGCTGTGGATGCCGTATCTCATCACTCCCATCATGAAGTTCTTCCTAATTTCTAATCTAAACCTACCCTCTTTCAGTTTAAAACCATCGCACTCGCCTTTTCAATACAGGCAATAAGACTCTTAAAAACTCATTTGATGTACTGAATGGTCACGATAAGGCCTATGCAAAGTCTTCTGTTCTCCAGGCTGAACAGACCCAGCTGTCTTCACAGGAGAGATGCTCCAGCTCTCTATCATTTTCATGGCCTTCCTCTGGACTTCTCATGCTGAGACCCCAGAACTGGACGCAACTGCTCCAAAGCTCCCCTCCACCTGCTCTGACACAAATGGATTGGAAGAGCTGATGTCTTAGAATCAAGTAGCCCACACAGCCTCATCCCTCTCACACAGAAGCGTGCTACTGTCTCACTTCTTTCTATTTTCCTTTTTAATATGATAATTTTCTCCAGGTACAAAACTACATATAACATAAAGCTTCATAAACCTTCCTAAAAATGTAGTGAAAAATTAGTTAACATTCTGCTCCTTTTTAAAAAGGAAAATCCACCTAATTGGAGAAACAGTTTTTGCTAATGTTATGCAGTAATGAGTTGTTTTTCTTTTTTAAATATTGTTGCCAGAAAAATCCACCCGTGGAAATGCAAAAAACCTGAAACGTACCTTATTATCCTATGACTTAGCTATAATAGGAACTAATGGAATCAAAAAATATTACTTAGATGTCATTAGCCCCTAACTTCCCGAACTGCAAAAATCTCTGTTAGCTCTTATATACAAAAATAGCTGTAGTCAACCACTAACTTTCTCCAAAAGAGACATTTACCTATGTGAAGATACTATTTGTATAACCTGTCAGAGGACATCTGCTTTGTGATCAGGATTACTGTTCAATTACCAGTATACTTCAGCAAATATCTGTAGGAAAAGTGAGCAAGAAGAAAAAGCCTCAAGAAAAGCCTCTTCAGCTCCTGAAATCTTAAAAGGTAATGCCAGAGCCATCAGTTTTAGAGAAATGAAGACTTGCTATTCAGATCTAGTTCGCCTTGAACTACTGTTAGAGTGTGACCTAACTGCCTGCGCTGGCTGAGGATTTCCAGAGGTTGAGACTAACAGACAGGATAGGTAAAAATTGGCCAGTATTGCAGGTTTCACACAAAAAGAAGAAATCCTGTTTCACAGGATGAAAAAACAACAAAGCAAAACACATTTCTGTGGGAGAAGGCATGATTTTATAATTCTGCAGAACTACATCAGAAGGATTTCTCAAGAGTCAGTGGTCTACCTAGATATCTATATTAATCCAGCCCATATATACCTTGAGTAATTTTTGACCATCCTTGCAGAATGCTGTGCACTTAAATTCCAGCATCTAAAATCAGCAAAGATCCACTGTCTCACATGCATTTCACTGTAGTTGCTCCTATAGGGAAGTCTCGCCTACTTTTTCTAACAGTGATATGGATATGACAGAATGCATTGGCTGAATACAAAAATATAGAATGTATACTGTAAATAATCAGATTTTAGTGTAAGAAAAAGTCATTTCAAGTTTTCAAACTATCTATCCAAATGATTTGATGACAACTAGGTTGGTTAAAACCCTAAAACCACCCACAAAAGCTTCGTTTTGTATTCTGAATTAGTTCTTCAGAGCCTATACTTTTAAAACTTTAGAACTGCAGAGCATTTCTGAGAACAGGATGTTTGTAATACCTCTGTGAATGAATCAACTGATGACACAGCAGCATTTGCAACAGGAGTCTGCTGTGCCAGGTTCTCCAGCAGCTCTACAGAGATGCCGATCTGGGCCACCGTTGGTGTCTGTGGGAGATTCATGGCACCAAAGGGGTGCTGGCTTCCCTTCCCTGAAAGCACCACAAACAGCATGTTAGAACTGATACACATTTGAAGATAGTTCTACTGAGATTCCAGTGTTTCTTCTATACGAGGTCCCTGGTGGGAGGTGTGGAACACATCTCCCTATCACAGAAATCAAACAGCACAGTCCAAACACAGGTACATGTACACACAAGCACACATATTACAGAAAAACAGGAAACACACAGCACTGCTGCACAACAGCTTGACTCACTCATTCAAACATGGTGTTTTTGAACCTGTTTATGCATGAAAAAAAAACAGACAACGTTCCTTCAAGATCACTCAGACTTGAAGCTACTCCTGAGCAGGGCTGCACAGCCCCACATTTCATCAAACAGCTCAAAACCACCAAGGGTCAAAGAAATGGAGCAGAAAGGCCTCTGGCTTTACAAAAGCCATGTAAAGAACATTGCATTAAACAGAAAAACACCCTCAAATTGCATATTGTTCTTGCAGGCATCATCCTAGTCCCTGTCATCACCCCTGACTCAGTATTAACCAGCAATTCCTGCCTAAGCTTCAGCTAGAAGCTCTGCACACAGTGACAAATATTGAGAGACAAGTGGCTTTAATCATACAACCCTCTTTAGGGGGCGCTGCTACTAGGATGATTTTTTTTCCCCAAATAAATTCAAATAAATGCAATGAAACAAGTACTGATGCTTCAGTAGCCCTCTCTGCTGTCTTACTAGTAGCAGAGAGCAAAGCCAATCAATAACTATCTAACAGACCTATAAATACTATATTGAGCTGCAAAAAAATGCTAACTGAAATCTAAAGTACCTTCTGACTCAGTTCCACTACATTTGCAAGCACTGTTCTATTGAAACTTTAACACAGCTTTTTAAAAAGTATTAAAAGTTAGGAGAAACAACAGAGAGGTCTGCTTTTAGACTTAACAAGTTTCTACCAAGACTACTAACAAGTACAGTCTAACCAACTTCTCACAGCTGTAGAGCTCTACAGGAATCTTTTAGATGGTACCATGGCTTTCTTCTGAGACACCTTCAGAACCTGATCTGGAAATCTCTTATTCAAAAAAGATTACCTGAGTAATAACACCTGTAATCAAGAAAAAGAGTCTGAGTTAATGATTTAGTCTCCACTCCACAAATGAATTCTTCATATTCAAGTGCATTTCCCAAAAGCAATTTCCCCTTTAGTTCAGCCCTGATAAACTACTGGTACCAAACTTGGAAATACTTATCTTCACCAGCACTGGCCGTCCTAAGTGAGCAGGGGACAGAATGAAGGATAAGCAAACTAAAAATCCTGAGGCAACACCATTTTCCTTGACCCTCACCGACCAGAGTGCCTAACACTCCTAACAGCACAACCACTCCTTAAAATGTGCAACACAGGCAACTTACATTGCAAAACCAGCACAATTACAGCACATTCCAGACACTGAACACACTTAAGAGCTATAAATTGTGCAATTAACATTTCCCAAAGCTGCTGTATTCAAATCCTATGCCACTTCAGCTGACTGCTTATAGCCACAGAAATAACACATGCTGGCCTTTATCACACAGTAGGAAAGAAACTCTGCTACAATCACTGCTTCACAGGGAACTGACAAACAATATGGAACAGAAATTTGTTCTATCCACACTTAACAATGGAATAAGCTCAAGACAACACAGCACACCACAGAGCAGCTATATAACATCTCCAGGAACAAGCTGATGTCACAAAATATACTGTGATATTACTAAAATTACACAGCAGTTTGCTCATCGTTTCAAATGCACACATTCCTAACATAACCTAATAAAAAGCTGACATTCTGGATGCTTTTAGATGCTGCACAACTGTTCCAGCTCATAAATGGAGCAGGCAGCCTCTTTGTTCTATTAGAAGTTGCAAAATCACACATTAACTTCATCGTGCTATTTGTTATCCAAGCTAACCCTTACCATCTTTGCTTTAGCATGCACTCAGGCAGTCAGAAACATCTGCCCAACCTGCATGCTTCTTACAAGCCTGGCTACAGGCTGGCTTGCTTCCCCTAATCCCAACCATCTAAGTGACAACATTAGAAACACCTGGACAATGGAGGTACCTCTTTCTTTAATCTCTTTACAGAATAGCACTGCTACCTACTAGTTAGGAAAAAAAAAAAAAAGAAATAAGGTAATCTGAAGCAGGATACATCCCACTGGCGTTATCATTGGAATTTATCCTCTTCATTTCACAGATACATATAATAGCAACCTCCAAAAGTTAGACCGGGACAGTCAAACAGATTTCAGAAGACAGTAATGCCTCTCCAATTCCCTTCTCTATAATCACTCACTTTTGCTTCCCCTTTTCAGTCTCAATCTTCCTCATTGAACACGGTTCGTTATCACAGCAACAGCTCATTCTGACTCCTACAGTCTGAAATAAGCTGTGTACAACAGGAACAGCTGATCAGAGCAAGCACAGCACTGCCACCTGGCATGGAAGCTCATCCTCAAGCACAATCCCTTGCACATTGATGTGACCAAAATGTTGAGGCAGAAGAAAATGTAGTTCAGGAAAAACTTAATATTTCTTCCTTGAAAAATATGGTTAAAGATACTGTTCTGCAAAAGCATCTGAAGTTACCTTTACCTACAAAGCTCTCTGAAAATACATACAAATAAGGAAGTCTTTGGAGCATGATGAGCATGCTGCAAAAACTGACAGAAAAAAAAAAGGTGATATACACTTCATTCTTTATTATTGAAATGCTTTAAAGCTGCTTGATGGACGTACCTTCCCTTAGGGGCAGAAAGCTGTGTCTTGGGGGTGGCTTGTCATTTTTACAATGTGCATAACAAAAAATACCCACATAATAATGTATTAACAGAAAATAGATATACATACACACACACTGTTCAGGTAGCATCAGCCTTCTCTCAGTCAGCTCAAAACCACTGTAACATTTGGAAGACTGATTTCCACTGACAATACTCCTTATTGAACAACTACATAGTGCACACTATCAGAGGCAGCGAACTTTCTGAAGTCACTGTGCTACACTTTGCTCACTGGAAAACCTTTCTCTGTGCTACAAAGAATGCAACAGCTGAACAGATGGAGCAAGAAGAAATATTGCAGCACTCTCTAGCTGAATGCATGGAAACCACACCAAGGAAAACACAGACTCATTCCTAATCAGATTCTGTGGAAGCGCTGGAAAACACGCCAAACTTGTTGAGCTGAATTTCCAGATTAACATGGCATACAAGATAAGAGTGAGAAATTTCATTAGGAACATATACACACAGACGTTCACAAAACTGACTGAATGCTTCTAGTTACTTATCTGCCAGAGACTACCTGAATACAGAGAACCACCTTTATAAAAAAACACTTAATAAAAAAACACCTTCTGACATTTACTCTCTCATACATACAGTAACACATCCACTATGCTGACTGCTATTTTGTTCTACACTTACCAGATTTCAAACCAGAAATTTTAAAGATTGCACTTGGCTTCTCGTTAGTAACAAACCCCAGCAGCTGCCACACTGCCATCCCACTCTGGTCCGGGTAACAAAAGTAGACAGATCCTCCCATTCCTTCAGGAAATGGTACAGTTCCCAGCATGAAGACCACTACGTGGTTGATGTTTTCATAGTCCGGTAAGTCAAACACAAATTTGTCTTCGGCCACTTGCTGGGGAGCTGCTTGCACCTAGAGAACAAAGCCTTTGTTAATATTTTCCATTTTTTGGCTAACTACAAGTAGCCCTTTACAGAAACATAACCTATGGTGAGACATAACTAAAAGTGAGGCATGTACTAATCTAAACAGCACATAGCCAGATGAAAGTCAAACAAAGCAGAACAACTGCCACAAAAGTATCACTGGAAAGGCACAACAATATTCTACCTACGCTGGAAGTATATCCTACCCAGCACTATGAGAGCAGAATACCTTCACTCCCCACGTGCGTAGGAGGGAAATAAGGTGCAGAAGAGGTTGCCAAGTCTATAAGCAGTGGCTGTTGACCACCTGGCTGGCACAACCCCCGGAGCACGGCAACCTGTTCACACGGGAAATACAATAAACCTTCAGACAGGCGGCACAGGGACGCCAGAGACAGATAACGTCCTCCTCTTCACCCCAGCTGCCACAACCCTGCAGCCAAGGCACGCTACAGCATTAAAATGGCTCTTTTAACCTCCCATCTCGCCTCTGAAGAGCCCAAGCCTGCTCGTTAGCAGAAAGGACAGGATCCACAACGGAGCTGCCCCGTGGGGACTGGAGGCAGGAGTCGGCCAAGGCGCGGCCCCTCGACAGCCCCACCCGCCCGGAGCGGGCTGAGGGCCCCGCTCACCAGCCTGCCCGCCACCAGGCAGCCGAACATGGCGGCGGCCACCACCGAACCCCCCTCAACCGCTCCGCTGCTGCCGAGCCTCCTCCATGAGCGGCGGCTGCCGGAAGTGGCTGTGCCGCCGTCAGCTCGCATGCCGCCATCACTTCCGTTTCGCGCGCAGACTACAACTCCCATGGTGCACCGCGCGTTTCCCGCCCCGGGAGGCGGTGCGCGGCGGTGCGTTCATGTTTATTGCCCCGAGTGAATTTATTGACTCAGTAGAAACGCCGTGAAGGCCAATGGTATCATGTGTTGAGTTAAAAAGTGCGTGGCCAACAGGTCAGGGAGGTTATCCCCCCCTCTAGTCTTTCCTTGTGCTGCCCTGTTGCACATATCCCGTTCTGGGCTCCTCTCTGGCAAAGGGCCACAGATTGGGGCCCAGAGAATCTCCTGTGTGAGGAAGGGCTGAGAGACCTTGGGCCACTCTGCCTGAAGAAAAGATGACTGAGAAGAGATCTTCTCAGTGCTTAATGGGTGGAAGGCAGGTGGAGGAGACAGGCTCTTCTCAGTGGTGCCCGGTGGCAGAACAAGGGGCAATGGGAACAAATGGGAACACATCAAGTTCCATACGAACACAATTAAAAACCTTATTCTGAGGGTGACAGAGCCCTGGAACAGGCTGCCCTGAGACATGGTGGAGTCTCCTTCTCTGGAGATACTCAGAACTCATCTGAATGCTTTCCTGTGCAACCTGCTGTAGGATACCTGCTTTGGCAGGGGGTTGGTGGGCTCGATGATCTCCAGAGTTCCCTTCCAACCCCTGTAGTTCTGTTATTCTCTAAAATGATGCATTTCTTCACATGGCACAGATGCTGCCTGTCATAAATGTGGGAATTTTATGTATGCTCAAAAAACGTTGCATGTATTCAAAGAAAAATACAACTTGACTTACAGTTTTAAACTGTAATTGGAGAGATTTAGATTAGATATAGGAGGAAATTCTTTACTCAGAGGGCAGGGAGGCCCTGGCACAGGCTGCCTGGGGAGGCTGTGGGTGCCCCATCCCCGGAGGTCCTCAAGGCCAGGTTGGATGGGCCCAGGGCAGTCTGAGATGATGGGTTGCAACCAGCCCATGGCAGGGAATTTGGGACTGGATTTGGGCTTTAAGGTCTCTTATAACCTAAACCATTCTGTGATTCTATGATTATATGAATGGTACTATAGTTGCTTTAACTACAGAGGATGCAACTCCAGACCAAACTGCTTTTACCTTGTGCTTCTACTCTTGTGTATAATTTCTGCAGGCTGGAGGTGAGGCACTAGAATTTCATCAAGGCAGCCATTCCTAGCTCTGAGTCAAGATATGGCTGATGAGCTCTGCTTAGTGAAGTGCAGAGGGAATTTTGTATCTTGTTTCTGTATCTAGAAACTGAAGTTGATGTTGAAAGATGAGATCCAAACTGTTTAAATTCAGATAAAACTGGCCAAAGAAATTAGAAGCAAATAAAATCTGCATTTAGAAAACTAAGAAATTAAAAAGTAAAGCATAATCAAAAAACAAAACAATCTGATTAAACATGCTGACATGCTCTAAAAGTACACTGAGAGAATACTAACTTGACAGTATATGATAGTGCATTAACATGAAACAGAATTTGTCTTCACAGATATAGTGCAGAAGCTGGCAGCTTCTACTGGTGAGATTTCCGAGCCTGCATCAAACCTTCCACAGGCAGTCTCATGTCATGGTTAGCATCATGCATCAGCTCGGTGGACCTGGTAGGAACAATTCTCGTTCACTGTGGGCATGCTCAAGGATGGTCTTTGCTATGCCGTTGCTCCTTGATGCCAGTGCCTCTCAATGTCTTCCAACTTTTTGTAAAAATAGGGAAAGATTGTGACAGCAATAGGATAAACTTCAATGCAGAATGTCAGCAGAAGGGGACAGGGAAACTTGCTTGCATTTCACAGACATTTATATATCTCAGAGAAGATAAGGAGCAGAGCTGGAGTCCTGTGCCAGATTAAGAGGAAGAACCTTCTGATGGCTGAAAATGTCTGCTCTCTCTCCTTGGACTATGGGTTGAAATTAGCATGTGGTAATTCTCCACCTTTCTCTAACATGCCTAAAAATACCTAACATTTAACACCTTTCTTAATTCCTCGGTGTTCTGGAGAATATCCACCTATAGAACAGTGGCAAAATGGCATAGCTATGGCAAGCTACATAAATTACATATGAACAAGACTAAAGAAAAGAATATCATGAGACACCAGATACACCTTTAGGTCCTGCACATCACCTTGTATATTATTCCTTGTAAGGAATTAGCTCATTTGAATTTGTAACACTGTAATAATGGGATCAGTAATATGCCTTATTACTATTTATCACTGTTGACTGATAATGCAATTTTTGTCTAGGCATATTTTCTTTAGGATTAACATGATAATTGTGTTTAAATAAAACACATTTCAAGTCTTGGATTGATAATTCACCTCTTGACAGAAAATGAAATATTGAATGAAGAGAGCGTAAGCTTTGGAGGGGTGAGAAGGAACAGATCACAGAGTCTCTGTTTATAGGGAATTTCTCTGCCAAATTAATGCAGTAACTGTTAAGCTGCAACCATATTTTTTGTGATCCAGAGAAGCTCTTAATCTTTGTTGCTTGCCTTCTCCTGGGTATCATAGCAGAGGCTATCTGAGCGAGATGGAAACAAGTTGTTCTTCAATTTGACTGCATTGTGTGTAGAAGCCATTCTTTTAAATCTTGTTCTGCTGGCTTTTTATGGTATATATTCAGATATTTTCATTCATGCTTCAATCTTAATCATACTCTTGTTTTAGTATTTTTTGTTACAAGTCAATCTTAATCATAGAACCATGGAGTATGCCAAGTTGGAAGGGATCATCAAGTCCAACCCCAGGCTCCACACAGGACCATTCAACATCCAAACTCTACATCTGAGAGCAGCGTCCAAACCCTGAACTCCAGCAGCATAGTGCCATGCCTGCTGTCCTGGGGAGCCTGTTCCTTGGCCATTACCCTCTGGTGGAGAGCCTTTCCCTAATCCCAGCCTAACCTTCCCCTGATATGGCTTAGATTCTGGACAGGTTCTGCTCTTAGGCTGGCCCTCAGCTGTCCACCAGAATCATCCTCTGTGAAGCTCCTAGTGCTTCACACATCCCTGCCAACTTTGCAGCAGTATTGTTCTTAGCAAAGGATGGTGTTGCCTTTCAAAATTCTGAAAACATAAAAAATGCAAAATATAAAAATCCCTGGTGCCTGCTACCAGATGGAATGACCAACCTGTGCACTGCACTGTGTTTTTGCATAGGAATTATTAAAGCAAGATCTATTTGCTTGGTTCACCTCTTAGATTTAGCAAGAAGCCAGGTGAGAATTGTTAAGGCACTGGTGCAGAACTGCCCCAGTCCCAGGTCTCATTTTGAATCTGAACTTTTGCAAGTGAATTCTTCCACTTGGCAGGTGCTCTTCCAGCTGGCCCTGCTGATCTGGAAAGAAAAAAGGAAACTGCTTTAAAGCTTGAGATGTTGCAAATTAGTGGAATTTGGCCAAGCTCTCTCTGGTGTACATTCAGTGAGGCACAAGGAGAAATCTGCTAATTAGGCAAGAGCTCATTTCACATTGCCAATTTACTATAGACCTCTGAGATTAAACCATGTCTAAAAGGCACAGGGCAACTCTATCTTGTATTTTGTAGGCTTTAACTCAGTAAGACTCTCATGTGCTCTTGCTGAGGCAGGAGTTTTTCTTTTCTTTTTCCTGAATTCTGGGGAGTTTATTCTGCTCTCTATCCCAGACTTCCAGGCCAGGGGATAGACTACCCTGAGGATAGTCAGTCCGACTTTTAAAGACAGATGTAAAGAAGACATTGAGAACCTCAGACTTTTCCTTATCCTCAGTTATCCACATTCCCTACTGCATCCAGTAAAGGATGGAGATTCTCCTTAGCCCTCCTTTTACTGTTAATATATTTGTACAAAAGTTTTTTGTTCTCTTCTACTCCAGGAACCAAGTTGAGTTCAAGCTGGGCTTTTGCCTTTCTTATTTTCTCCCTACGTTTCCTAACAACTTATTTGTACTCTCCCTGAATTGCCTGTCTCTTCTTCTACAGGAGGTAGATTCTCTTTTTCTTCAAGAGCCTCAGGAAAAATTCCCTATTCATCCACACTGATCCTCTTCCCCACCAGCTCATCTTGCAGCACAGGGAACAGCCCGCTTCTGCACTTTTAAGACTTCCTTCCTGAGGAGTGACCAGCCTTCCTGGACCCCTTTACCCTTCAGGACTGAATCCTAAAGGACCCTCCCTTACTAGGGTCCTGAACAGTTCAATCTGCCCTCCAGAAGTCCAAGGCAGCAGTTTTGCTGCCCCTCTCCTTCATCAATAATCTAGAGCTTTACCATTTTGGGGTTGCTCTGCGCTGGACAGCTCTTGACCTCCACATTTCCCCCCCAGTCCTTCTCTATTTGTAAACAGCAGGTCTAGAGGGGCACCTCCCTTGGTGCTCTGCTCTCTTCCCAGCTATGTCAGGAAGTTACCTTCCATACACTCTAGAAATCTCCTAAACTGCTGTGTTGTATTTCCAGCATGTACCAGGGAGTTGAAGTCCCCCATGAGAACAATGGTTGGCAGTCACTCAACTTCTGCCAGATGCTAATAGAACGCTTCATCCATCTCTTCATCCTGATTAGGTGGTCTATAACATACCTCCACTGGAATGTCCAACTTGTTGGCCCTCCCCTGATCCTTACCCATAGAGGCTTAATCTTATAAATCCCAGCCCCAAGTTCAATATCAAAGCACTCTCTAACATAGAGAGCCACGCCATCACCCCTCCTTCCTTACCTATCCCTTCTGACTAGCATATAGCCATCCACTGCAGCACTCCAGTCATGGGAGCAATCCCACCGTGTTTCTGTAATGGCAACTAAGTCATAGTTTGCTTGCTGCAAAATGGCTTCCAGCTTCTCCTATTTCTAGCCTAT